TTCTTCTTCAAAGCTGATCCTGCATCCTTCCCACAGACTAGATGTGAATGTTGAGGCACCCGTCTTTCATAGGAAACTTATATACCATTCCACAGTGATTTACAGCACTCTCTGGGTGGTTTACAACGTCAGCATATTTCCCTCAACAATCTGGGTCCTCCTTTGAGTGACCTTGGAAGGATGGAAGAGAGGAAGTGTCCAGACCCCTCTCCAAACAATATTTGTTGCCTTTAGTCTTTTCCCCGTTGTGGCCAATAATTAGAAAGCTTTGTTCCCATTTGTGCTTGGGGAAAATGGTATCAAAACCCACATCTCAATAAAAATACTTCTCCCAAAGTGTACTGACAGCCACATCAAAACATTGCTTCCGACAGGTAGGTCCAGGCTGGGGAAGTAACTTTTATCACCTTTAAGGATATGCAAGTTTTTTCTCCTTCCTTTTAGCACCATCTCAGCACTGAACAAACATGAGAAAAATAATTCCAGAGTCTGCCTACATAATCCTTTTACAAAGCTTTTCAGAGGAGGGAAGAGTTCAAAGGTGAATGTGAATGCTTTCAAACAAACAATGGCAAACCTCAATGTGCCAACAGAATTAATAATCAGTGTTCTAGTATTGAAGGTATACAACAAAAGATGTAAAGATGTAGGTACATAGGCTTTCTTTGATTGGGTGAGGATGGATATATCCTTCTTTGTTCATCCCATTCCTGGTTTGTGCCTGAATCTATTCTTTGTTTTCTTTTTGTTCTTCAGAAGCCAGTTTGGTTATTATCCTAAGCCATAACGTGCTTTTATTTGGTTTTGGCTTAGCTTGAAACGTGGTATCAGGCACTGTACTTTGTAAAGCATGATTTATGGCTTAGTGGTGGGATTCAAAAATGTTTTTACTACCGGTTCTGTGGTCATGGCTTGGTGGGCATGGTATGGCTTGATGGAGAAGGATACTGCAAAATCTCCATTCCCTCCCCACTCCTGGGGAAAGGTTACTGCAAAATCCCCATTTGCCGGTTCTCTGAACTACTCAAAATTTCCATTACCAATTCTCCAAAACTAGTCAAAACCTGCTGAATACCACCTCTGCTTAGAGGTATGCATAAATCAGATCACTCTTTATTCAGCAAACTATGTTCAACCACTGTCCAGCAAATAGAGTAACAGGGAAGGGGAAATGTTCAGAATCTTAAATTTTGGTCATTCAAGGGGCTTCATCGATGCTGTTGTTTCTCCTTTGATGCTTGGAGGTAGGATACTTCATTTTGATCAGCAGAGCTTTGGGAGTTTACCTTGACATTTGATGATGTTATTTCAGCATCCAATGTTCTGCCCTTAATGCTTTTATGTTGATCACTTTGGTGATTTAAAAGAAGAACATTCGTTGGCCTGATAACCAAGTTTTTTGCAAAGAGGCACCAAAATCCTGACGAATTCAAATAGAACTCTGAAATCTGAAACATCTCTACAGAGACCAGGATCCTAATGGAATTTGACCTCCAATGAAGTTTGTATGTTCAGGAAACAGGGAAAGAGATTTTTTTAGAAAAATCGACACCATTGTATGCTGATTGCTCTGGGTTGCCTCATTTCAGACTCAGATATGGGAAAAGATTAGATAGTGCCCTTGCTCAGTAGTTCAGGGGGGGAAATTGCTATTGGACTTTTCTAAAATACAGAGGCTAGGAACACATTATAAAAAACTTGTCACTCGCAAAATACCTTGTGCTCTGAATTTTAGGGTTGAGTCTAGGCAATCCAAAATCTAGCCATGGAGAGATTGAAACATAGGGTTGAGTGTCCCCAACTAGGGGTCCCCAACTCCCAGTCTGTGGATCAGCACTGGTCCACAGCATGCCAGAAACTGGGCTGTGCAAACAAGCAAAGCCCTATTTGCAGAATGCAGGCAGCACACAAAACCATGCCTCCTCTGGTCTGTGGAAAAACCTCTCTCCATGGAACCGGCCCCTAGTGCCCAAAAGGTCTGGCACCACTGTTCTAGTCCAACCCCTTGTCTAGTGCAAGGATCTTTAGACCACCTTGAACAAATGGTTATCCAATATTTTCTTCAAAATGCCCAGTGATGGTGTGCTCACAATTTCACCTGTCAAACTCTTCTTCTGGCTAGTTGTTCTCGTAGTTAGGAAATTCTTCCTTATTTCAAGTCACAATCCCCTTCTTTAAACCTTCTACTCACAATCCCCTTCTTTATAGCTTCCACCAAGTAAGTGGCTCTTGACTTACCTTTGACTTGTATGGAGAATATATCCGCCTTTATTATGATACTTTTGATTGAGAAACGGTATTCTGTAAGTGAAGTCTGCAACATATTTTTTTTAAGTACTATATTTATGTTTAGGGCTCCAGACAGCCTATCACTGTCCATTTCGCCACTATCACACTCAATTGTTCGTTCTCCCACAAGTATCTTCTGGTTACAGACCATGTTTGTCTTCTCACTGAGATATTTTGATTCAGCTCTTTATGGTAGGGATACTTACTGTGGATGTTACTTTCTTCTAACATAGGAATAAACAATAGGAGAGAAGTATGTTGCTTGTTAATGGAGATTATGGACCCCTAATTTTGTTATTATGATCAATAAGTGAGGTTGTTCCCACTACCCACTTTGGTCTCCCAGGATACTCCCTATCCCTTCAGCTTGTCTCTTTTCTGAGTAGATGGACACACTACCAAACCCTGCCCCTGGGCTGTAACATTTGTTCATTTCTATATGCTTCTGCGATGTATGTGGGACTACAAAATATTATTGGAAACAGAAGTTATATTTGTAACTGGTGTTTTGTTTTGTGGAAATCTAACTTAATTTAGAATAAAAATCAAACGGGGCCTAGAGCCTGGTGGATACTAAAGGAGATGTCTATGAGCATCTCTATGCCCTACTGGGTATCCAGCTTAGGGAAGGTCTGAAGTTTTGTTTTCACTTTTGTTCAGTCACTTACTTGTTCCTTTTCATTAAGAAAAAAATGTAAGTCAGGCTCTCGTTTTCTGTTCCTTTACTGAAAATATTAGAAGAAATGTGTTGCTCCAAGATATAAGGATAGCCAGTAATGTAGGTAATTTTAAGACAGAGAGGGACATAGTTATGGAGGAAAACATTGTCATCTGCTCTGTATTTCAGAGGTAACTCTCAGTACTCAATAGTGGGAACAATATTGAAAGTGGGTTATTGCCCTTACATCTTGCTTCCTGGAGACATCTATTTGAAAACAGGATATGAGAGTAAGGAGACAACTGAATTTATTGATCAAAAGCTCCCCTCCTGATTGACATTGTAGTGGATTCTACAACTCTGTTTTGTCTCTCTGAAAATAAGATGATCTTACTTGAGGGTTCTTCTCCTTTTAGCAAGTTCATTGATTGCAGTGAGTCCCGTAGATGCTTTGCGTGTGTATAGCAGCCATGCAATCCAACTATAGTCCAGCACTGCTGGCACTAATTTATGGAAGGTTATCATATATCATATATGATTTGTGAGCGTTTTTCTATAGATCGATTACTTAAACACATTGAAAGGATTTTTTTTACCCTCACTGGCTAGAGCTACAGTCCATGGCAACATGTTCATTGTTCTTGTCACGTTGTTGTTATTTTCCTTTCATCAGTGCCTTTCATCTTCATTTTGAGGGCATCTCTGAGTCATTTTTTCCAACATATATTTCAGGCTACCTTCTTCACAGTCTAAATGGCGTTACTAGTCTGGTGTCATAACAGCAACTCAGTGATTCCTTAAACCTGCTAATAAAGGGGTGGGGGACCTCTGGTGGATAGAGAACATGAATTGTAAGTACAAACCAGGGATTAGAAGGAGGTTAGAGACAGGTGCATGAGGGAGCTAGGGCTCTGATAACTCATTTATTTACCCGGATAATGGATGACCTCATAATTCAGGGGTATTGGAGTACAGCAGTGCCCTGAGCAAGCTTTGAAATATCATCAGTAACAGCTCAGTGATAAACTATGTCAGGTCCATTGTTCCTTCTATTCTACTTAAGAGACAGAGTGATAAATGAACATTTCGTGTAGGAAGGACAGGGTGGCCAAGTTCAAAATGAAGGGGAACATTCTCTTAGGGCAAACCCTACTCTCTTCTCTTGCATGGAAACTTAAGATTATTGGCTTGTACAGCATGCTCTTTCTGACAGGGAAAAATAGAAGAGATTGTGAAAGTAGCAATCAGGGAAGCTCCAGAACCTGTAAGAGAACTTCACCTAGCAGAAGCTGGCTTGCTAAAAGGAGAAACAATCAAGTAAAAAAATAGATCAGAGTTTCTGCTCTACAAATCAATCTTCCCAAGAGCAACTAGACACTTAAAATTGCCACCCAAATAGCCACTGATCCACCAGAAGAAGCTTGGTATTAAAGGAGTAGTTCTATGGTGGAAAACCAGTTAATTCTTCCTCGATCCAAAATCTAATTACTGGTACTTCCATAGAATTCAGCATTGTGGGGAAATCAGTGAAGCCAAAGAGCAACTAGTGAGGTGTTGCTGAGAAGGAAGAGTGGTTTTATAATCAATTTTCTTCCTTACTAGATTTTTTTTTTCAATTAAATAATTCAAAGCAATTTCAAAACTACCCCTGGCCATTTCCCTGTGATGGTATCTCATCTATCCAGTAGGGTATCATTTGATATGTATCCAGCATCAAGCAGTGGCAATTAAAATCTTTTACAACTGTGCAGCAAACCAGTTTGGGTTTTGCTTAGGTATTATCTAAAATGACAGTGGCAAGTTGCAAAACCAATTTAAGGAAACATCATGGCAGGGAAAAATTAGGGAAAATATAAAATTCAGATAGCCGAAGATGGGGAAACCTTATTTTTCAGATCCTGGCAAGCAAGTGCCAGTCAAGATAAACAGTATTAGTGAATTAGATGGACAAATAGGATGTGTGGTGGTGTAGTGGCTAGAATGCAGTATTGCAAGCTATTTCTGCTGATTGCCGACTGCCAGCAGTTCGGCAGTTTGATTCTTACTTTTGACGCAGCCTTCCATCTTTCCAAGATCGGTAAAATGATAACCCAGATTGTTGGGGGGCAATATGCTGACTCTGTAAACAGCTTAGAGAGGGATGTAAAGCACTGTGAAGCAGCATATACTGTAAATCTAAGTTCTATTGTTATTTTAACATAAGTCAACTTCCTGGATTATTATGTTATCCATGAATGGTTATAATTCTATAACACTACCTGTAATGTAAAATGTGCTTAGACAAAGGACATTTTTAAAATCCAATATGTTGCATCTGTAAGATAAAGGTTCTTTCAAGTTGACCATGACTCCTGGTAATAGTTTTTGTAACAACAGCATGAAATTACGTAGGAGGCTTGTTTTGTTTTGTGTGATATTAAAAAGGGTATGGCCTGTTAGTATTGAGACTGAAGTCTAGCAAGGAATTCCAGAGCTGGTTGCCCGTTGAGAATTTTGTTTTTAGAAGGAGAAGGCCATGAGAAGCCAAGTCTATAATTTTGCTGAGAAAAATGATAGACCTGTGGATTTTAATTAAAAAGCATGAGGGTCTTCGCCCATCAAAATTAGCCCTGTCTGTTAGCCTCTGGAAGCAAGTTTGATTGGTTTTCTAACTAGATGATGCTGAAGAATTATTTAGGGAGTTGTATTGAGAAAAAAGAACACTTCCTGGGACCCCAAAAGTGCTTTTTTCAAAAGGTAACTGGATTCTTCTTTTTTTTTATTGAAAACAGTATGCTTTTCATTCAAGAAACTTCTTTGGTTCTTCTAAGAACATAAAAAGTTCTTGGATGAAAAGTGAAAAGTTTTCAAAGAAAAAAAATTAAAAGTCCACTTGTCTTTTGGAAAAAGAACCTTTGGGACAACCATGACCTAGATGATTGAGAATTATGAGCCGCAATGGTGCAGTGATTAGAGTGCAGTATTGCAGGCTACTTCTGGTGATTGCAAGCTGTCTGCAGTTTGGTAGTTCAAATCCCACCAGGCTCCAGGTTGACTCAGTCTTCCATCCTTCCAAGGTGGGTAAAATGAGGACCAGATTGTTGGGGGGAATAGGCTGTAAACCTACTCTGTAAACTGCTTAGAGAGGGTTGAAAAAGACTGTGAAGCAGTATATAAGTCTAAGTGCTATTGCTATTGTCTCTGGGATACATTCTCTGGGATTATTTGCCAAGCCTTCTTTAGGAAGGCTGTCCTAGAGTCAATGCACTGAGTCCTTGTCCTGGAGAGATAGGAGTAAAACTACTCACTATTATAACAATTGATTCTGTCATATCCCACCTACTTCATTAACATCTTCTGAGTCTTGCAAAGGAGAACATTCTCATCTGGTAGAATGGCTGTTTAAACTTTACTCAGCCCCCCTCCCCCCTCCAAAAACATGGAAATAGACCTTTTTTGCCTTTTAAAAGTAACTATTTTGTATCGCTCCTTTTAGTAAAAATAAACCTCTATGTGATAGCTGGCTCAGGACATCAAAAAATCAGCATTCTAATATCTGCAAACCATCCGGGCAGATGTTAGAACCCTCGATTCTTCCCGGGCGTCCACTCAATAGGTAACCTGTTGGCCTACTAGGCCAATACACTGTAGTCTTGTCTACTAATAGGAAATAAGCCTGTGAATGAACATGGTATTGGACCAATGGCTCCTTCTCTTTCTCCTCCTCCTTTTCCTTCCCCTCCTCCTCCTCGCTACTTTTCTCACTAGTTCTTTTGCATTTCTTTCCCATTGATCAGTCAGCAGTCTCAACCAAAGAGCAGTAAACAGGTGAAAAACGGGAAAGAGAGACCTAGCTTCACCTAGAGGTAGAAATGGCTATTTTCTTCTTTGGACTGGCTGCACTTAGCACAAATGCCAACAACAGGTCTATGGAGAGGTGAAACTGTTCTCGCTTTCCTTGGATAGCTCAGTTTCTGCTGATTGCCGAAAAAAGGAAAACTCTTTCTCTGTGAATATTTCAAGAACATAGGGAATTGGTGATGCAGGACTTCAGTCTTACCCTGCTGCCTCTACCCTGAAAAAATAAAGAGCGGAGGAGAAACAACAGGAGGCAGCAAGAAGAGGAGAGACATTGCTGTCATTGGCAGTATTTCTGAAATCTTCTATATGCAAACATATGCATATTACATAAGTTACAGCCTTTCTCTGTAGTTTGCAGGGCCATTTTAATGTCCCTCCATGTCCCAAAACAACAGTACTGTACATCAGGACCAGGAGTTGTGAAAAGTTAAATTGGAAACCCTTGCTGATTAATAATGCTATTGCTCTAACCATGAGCCCCGTGATGCCTTGCTGAAATAGAGCAGGGGCTATTTTGGGCATTATCAAAGTTGAGATTAGCTTTGAATACGTAAATATCTATCTATCAATCTATCGATCTATCCTTATTTATCATCTATCTGTGCCTATTTAGATAGAGAATCAATCTAGAGAGATAGACAGACGGACACAGACAGACAGACATAATAGATAAAGATAGCTAGCTAGATGACAAATATCTAGCTATCTTGATCTTGATCTATCTTGATATCTATCCATCCATTTCCAATCAATATATTTGGGGATATATTTAAGGGTTTTTTTTTAGTGATAGGGTAATGAAGTGGCATGCAGAATTCATTTTAAAACAATGTGGGATATTGGAAGAACTCAGATAACTCTAGTCCTGTTAATACTATAAAGCTGTAGTGATACTGTGGGATGGCTCTGTTTCGTTGTTGTTGCTCCTACTCCTTTTTTTTCTGACCCCTATTTTCTCTTTTCTTACTCTTACTATAACAAATAAGTAGAACGGTCACCTTTGTTCCTTTTTCTTCTTTTGCCCTTGCTGTTTCTTGCACTTGATCAGTAAGCATTTTAAATCTCTGGTCCGCCTGCATTTCCTCAGCAAAGCTTTTTGAGGTGGATATTCTTCAAGATTAGCTAAAGTTAGGAAGGAATAGAAATAGGTCTATTAGTGCCATTAACTCTGATAGCTAAAGAATACATTCATATATGGAAGAGTCCATGTTACCGGGGGGGGGGGGGGGGGGGGAGGAAAAAGTGGTTAACCAGTGAACACAAGTATTGTTTTTATACTTTGCTTGTGGACTTCCTAGAAGTACTTATTTTTTGATCACTGTCAAAAACAAAATACTGAATTAAAATAATATCTTATAGCTAGTGACTTTTTACTTCAAGATGGGGATAATTAGATTTCTGCTCCCAAGATACCTGGAAGACATCAAGCTGTCATACAGAGCAGATTGGCTGAATTCAAAGGCCTGTTGCATCAGAACTCTTTTTTTTTGTTTTTTGGCTCTTTTGTGTATAGGGGAAACCCTTATAACTAAGAAAGCTAAATTCTGTGAATTTTATTTGTTACCTAATGAAAACAATAGCTTTTCTTTCAAATTGAAAACAATAAGATGATATCAGTCTGACACCCTAATTTAGCTTTTGGCAACTTAGTAAGCTACATTTCAGCTACATATCCCATATTACAGGACATTTCATGGACTATTCTCAGACTGGAAAGACCCAGGTCTACACACAAAAGTTCAATTAAGCTGATTTATTGGTAAAAGCCTAGATACAGGAATCTTCTCAACTAACGATTATCACCTGATTAGAGTTAGATAAGGGCAGGGGTGGGATTCAATTTTTTTAACAACCGGTTCTGTGGACATGGCTAAGTTGGTGGACGTGGCTTGGTGGTCATGTTATTGGCTGGGCATGGCCAACTCAATATCATTCACATCGAGGCACGCATCTCCTAGCCTGGCCTCTCATGACAGTGGGAATGCTGCAACAGTTGTAAGTGTGAAAAATGGTCATAAGTCACTTTTTTCAGTGCCATTGTAACTTTGAATGGTCACTCCATACAAGCAAAGTACCAGCAAAGGAGGGGGGAAAAACTCCGGAGAAGTTCCAGAGACAGGAAGTCTATTCCTGCCAAGAATGTAATAAGGCTTAACGGAGAGGCAGTTTCTATAAGCAACACCAGAATGTTTCCTTCCTACCTTCCTTACAGGATTAGGCCAGTAATTTCTTCTAACAACCGGTTCTCCGAACTGCTTAGAATGTTAACAACTGGTTTAGTGAATAGATGTGAATTGGTAGAATCCCACCCCTGGATAAGGGTGAATGGTACACAAGGAAGATTAGACTTAGTTCTCTTGTGGCTACACAGGGATTCTAGGCTGATCCCGTTTTTCACTCCTCTGCCCCCAGGTTCTGCCATTCCTTCTTCTTCAACTAGAATTCCTAGAATTGCTAGGTAGTATGGCCTTAACAAAACATCGTGAATAACCTAAGAACACAAGGGGTGGATCTGTGATTATGCAGTCCTGTTACATCATGAAGATTTTAATGAGAAAGCTCCCTTGATTTATTTATGTTTAGTTTGTTAAGCTGCCCAACAGCCATCCTTCAAGGGAAATGTACAGATATGTTTAAAAAAATACCCGATGTGAAACAAACCAATATAAAAAGATTAAAAACAGCACATTACACTGATAAAAGCTAACAGCAGCAGTGAGTTTCTATAACCTGCATGCTTCCCTGCCTATGACTTTCATCTCCAGGCATTTCATTCTATCACACAATCCCTGCTGAGATATCATCACGTTCTTTAAACAAAGAAAAGGAAAGGGGAAAAAGATACATTTCTGATTTACATTCATTCCTTCTTTTTATGTTGCTCAAGCTTTATTCTCCTTAAGTAAATTCAGTGGGTTGGGGGGTTTTTTAAGGAAAAGAATCAGCAGTTGGTCCCTCTTTTCAACCCGACTCTTCTCTGTTGAGTGCCCTGGCCCTCAGGATGCTGCTGGCAAATGCCAGATCTGTTTGCAATAAGGCAATATTCATTCGCAACGTATTAATTAAGATGAGCTTGCAACTAAATCTGAATGGTGGGTGATGGTGTTGTTATCCTATCAGAAAAACTACTTCCAGTTGGAGTTTCCAATAGTTCAGCAAGGAGGTGAACTAAGGAGTTGATGACCCCACACATGTAGACTGTGACCTGCTGTCTTGCCAAATAGGAATGCCAGCATTTGGACATGGGCTGCAGAAATAAGTTAAGGGTAGTGGTAAAATGTTATTCACCATGTTGCCCACAATGCCCCTTCTGAGCTTCTGCATTTCATTGAAGAACTGCTGGTGGATTTTCTTTCTTTGTGCTGGGAGAATACAATATCCATGTTCTGGGGGTGCCATCAAGATGGACTCAGGGGCTTTCATGGCCTCCAAGGCAGCATGAACTCGTTCCAGGTGATATCTGGGTTTAGGTTCCATATGTTAGCTCTTGTCTGTAGCAATGGCAATAGCACTTAGACTTATATATCACTTTATAGTGCTTTGCAGCCCGCTCTAAGTGGTTTACAGAGTCAGCCTATTGCCCCCAACAATTTGGGTCTTCATTTTACCCATCTCGGAAGGATGGAAGGCTGAGTCAACCTTGAGCCTGGTGAGATTCGATCTGCCAAATTGTAGGCAGCTGGCTGCAGAAGTAGCTTGCAGTACTGCACTCTAACCACTGCACCACAGAGGCTCATGAAACCTGTACCTAGGAGTGCATAACATATTTTATGATCTCACATGGAAGTCAACTTTGATCAGTCCTTTACTGTTTTGTATGTCAATATGCAGCATGCTGACATTTTCAATTCTGCAAGAGCATTTTTGTGTGGTTAGAATGGTCCCCTCAAGATGCCTTAAGGAATCCAGTGGGCTTTCAGCAAGCGCTGGGCCTTTTCTCAGTGATTTAGCAAGCAGTTTTTACCAAATCCTTAATTAAGCTTTTGCTCTGCTCAAGCTGATGACAGTTACTTTTAACCTCATGACCTCAAGATTAAACTGTTGCAATAGGCTCAACAGGAGTCTTGCCGTTGAAGACTACTCTGAAACAGCAGTTGGTTCAGAGTACAACTACTCACTTGCTGGCAGATAAGAGTTGCTTCTGTTCCTTGGGCACTTCATGGCCGCCAATGGGTTTCTGAGTTCAATTCCAAGTGCTGGTGTTAAAAGTATAAAACCCTATACGGCTTGACTCCCAGTTGCTTTTTGGATGACCCCCTTCAAACAGAATCAATCAATCCAGTGCACTCAGTCTTGGAAGGAATGCTTTAGATTTCTTCCTGGCAAGAGAGAGAGAG